AAAAAACCAAAGTACAGTTCAGTCTTGGAAATAATCTCCATCACTTGCTATACACTTGTTCAATTTCTCAGGCAGTTGGCATGAGGCAGAATTTCCCATCCCAAAGACCTTTCGCTACAAAAGCACTTTTTTGTAAGTTGAAATGCAAAAGGGACGCAGTGTCTAATATGCCGTTTATCCAACGGCATAGCATTCTCTACTGTTTTTTAGGTTATGTCATTAGTCACATCGAGTCCGATAGTGTTTTGTTTTGCTAATAGAAGCAACTTCAGAACTCTAACACAGCGGGAAAAAAGATTCAATCCAAAGTAAAGTTACAGCTGATTCGCGTGGAAAAAGCGGTTGAAAAATTGAGAAAATGTTCCTGTGAAACAACCAAGTTGTCGAACCTATCGTCGGGTTGGCATTTAAAAAATCGTTATCCTACAGTTGAAACGATTAAAAGCCGTGGTATATTTGTGTTCTCGCGCGTACAGAGGCATTCATACAACGAGATCGTGTGGCCAAGTATGATGTCACCAAAGACGTCACTCATGGTACGCGTAGAAAAGCAAGCGTGTACTTACTTCAGTCAATCCCAGACGCTTGCCGCGCGACCACCTCTCTTGTTAAGGTCAGTTTCAGTATTGTGTACATCCTCCTTAATTTTGCCGGTCGTTAAAAACGATTGTGAATCGTGATTTGCTGTGGTATAAATCAAATAATTCGCATTTTTGGACGATGCTTTCGAGATAATCACGATAAGGTGAAATCACATCGATACAACTTTATTTTCAACTCGGATATTACTTGTAACGTAGATTCTTTTAGATACGCCCAATATGCACGAAATTACGAGTGTATCTCTCGACATTATCGGCTTTTACGAATATCGACCAATTCTACATATCGTAAAATCATCCAAATCGTGGTAATCACCGTAATCAGTTTCGTATAATTCGAATCCAGTGTTCTTATCGGTTTCTTTTGCTATAGACGTGCTTTCATTTAAAAATAACCGGTGACGGCACTTCGCACGTGTTTATTCGTAGCCGCGCTAATTCAGGCATGTCGTGATACGTATATACGTGCCGATATATGTATCGTCGGTACGTTAGAGAAAGTTGGGGTCTAACATTGTTGCGTTTCGTTCCCTGTATCTGACGTTGAGAAAATGGGGAAAAGTGATTCCGAGGGGAGCTGTAGTACTGTGTATTTACGCACTATCGATCCCCGAGGGATTGGCGAAGGGTGCGGCAGGATGAAAGATACGAAAACAAAACTGCCACGATCGCGTGTTCAAATCCGACACGTTCTATTTTGTTAGATATTCAAAAAATGAAGTTAATTCTGGAGTAAACGAAACACGAGATTCGTCGCCGCTATTCTTGGATTTGGGAAAGGTGAAATGTAGGCCACACCTCGAAATTTTAGCCTTGGCCCTCTTTCTTCTTCGCAACCCACACTCACTGGAGGCTGTTTTTTAAGGAATCGTTCGCACTGTAACGTGCTGCTTGACAGTTTCAGAATCGGTAACGAAGGAAATGACAATGTCGCAATCGGTAACTATCAGGACTCATACGGTTACCAATAGTTCCACAGCAGTTATCATCAACACTGGTTACTTAAAAACGTTGGGCGGTCTCCTAAAGTTGTTCCAATTGGTAAGCCTCTTGTTAATTCTTTCGAGCAATAAGAGAAAGATCTTTCCTAAGACTAATTGTAAGTAATCTAACACGAACGCTTAGTAACGTTCCATGATTCATTATCGGTACAAAGTTCCGCTTCCTTTTAAAAATATCCGATAAGAACTTTGCTATCGTCCACCCTTTCGTTTTATCGATGTTCTCGTACGTTTCTATTTCAGGCACTGGGAGTAGTTTGCGTGGCAATAATAGCAAATTACTTTGGGCCTTATCGGCAGTATTCGAATGCCGCAGAGTTATTTTTCTTATTAATGACGACGTCATTTTTAATCGGAACCTTCATTTTGCTACTAAGTTGCTTGACTTCTCCTTCAACGTCTACCATTATCGCAAAAACCATCTACGTAAGTTTGCGCAGATTTGTAGGAAACGAATTGCTCGTGAAAAATCCGACGTTCAAATTATCCACCGTTTCAGGAACTTCTCTACCATTCTATAGCATTTGGATTGTATCTGGCCGCATCGTTAACATTTATAATACACGTATCTAATATGAAAGGTTATGCACATTACGATACGCTAATGGCTGGAGCGGTAAGTACACCGTACGTTTCTCTTTCTCAAGTATTTCCCATTGTTCACGTGTTACGTTTTTTCCAGATCTGTGGTTTGGTGAACGCAGCTCTGTATCTTATCAGCACGATCGTCGCTCTTCGTACTTACAGAGGAATTTAAATATGTACTTTTAACTCAGGTTAAGGTTGACATTTTGTGTACGAGTGTTACAATCGGACTACGCGACTTTTTATACAAAACCTTTCAATTTGATATACGAAGATGTTTGTCGTGTTTTGTATATCGCGTACATATTTACATTTCACGTGAAACTTTGTAACTCTTTGATTGTATGTATTATATACATAACGATGTCGTAACAGTCGCATTTTATATTTTATACGATTCCTACAGTCACGTATTTATTGTACTTATACTTCATATTTATACATATATCTTGGAAGATAGTAAGGAAATAAAGAAACACAGAGGAAGATAAAACTACAACGTAACAATTCCAACAAATATCCATTTACCAGAGAGAAAGCAAGCCACGTTCGTTCTCTCTCTTTACGCTGCCGACGCGGACCGACGCGACGTGGCGCATCACTCACGTAATTATGAGTCAGAAAATTCGAGCGTACACATGGACGAAAATGAAACTTTCGCACGGCCATTGGCAGGACGTGGATCTGCACGTAGCTACATACGTATGCGGGAGGAGTTTTGATAAAGCTGCACAAAGACAGAGAACAGGATATTGCGGTGCGATGCATAACGCAAGCAATAACATTATGTATGCGACCACGTATGTACGATGGATCGTCGAATAATCCGACGTCGCGTTCCTTTCTTCTTCTGCTCCCTTTTTTCTTTCAATTTCCTGCGTCGCGCCGGCCAGCCGGTCGACTACATACATATATCTTCCGGCGTGGCACGTGCCAGAAATAGACATCGGTATCCCTCGTGTCGATGGGACGCAGCAGGGGGTGCAACGACATTTAAATGCTCCGCATCAACGGAGAAAGCACCCTCAGTTTGTAGGAAAGTGCTCGAGAACGCGGTTCAGTCTCTCAGCTTAAACGACGCGACGTTAAATCTCTGTTTCGGCCGTGTCACGGATCATCCATCCTCTGCCTCGCAACCGTACGAATTAATCGGTCGTTTAACCAATTAGACCGATCGGATCAAGCGTCCAAGTCAGAATCGTACGCTCTTCGCCAAACCGATATCTCTTTCACGCGTGATCGCTATGATTAAAAACGGAACAGGCCCGATAATCAGGATGTCTTCGGCCGGCACGCATTCCGCCGGAGGTGTCCAATGTTGCTTCTGCAGATGTTGCACCTGTATACACCTGGAATTCTTAAAAACTATGCCCGGTGTCTTGAAACTATGCGAAACGGTAAGTTCGAGAAATGGAACGGATCTGCGAAACGGAAATGTAAATTTAGACGTGAACCAATTCTACTGTGTACCTCTTTGTAGATTATCAGTGGTCTGATACAGAGTTTGCTAATTAATTACGGTTTAAAATACGGCACGCAGATTGGTTCAGCTTTCGAAGGGTCTTTGACTACGTGTTCGGCTTGTTTTTTCACATCAGCTGTCTTACTTGCCTGTTACGCCGTATCGGAAAAATCCTACAGATTAATTAGATCGTCGCTCTTCGTACGTTCAACGTTCTGCACTATTCCTTTTACGATTGAACGCGTATACACGTTATAGATACTCCCGTATGTTTCTACAGGAAATGATGTTCAATGCTTTAGCTTCCTTTCTCTACTTGAGCTCAGCCTCGTATTTGGCATTCTCCACCAAGGTGTTTCTCCTGCCAGAATATTACATTCGACCAGGATTCGACGTTTACCCAGCGATGACTGCTGCTTACGTACGTCCAATAATTATACTCCGTCTAATTAGTCCGAATTTTCAGTATGTCCTTGCATTTCTACAGATTATGAGTGGCTTTGTCGGAGTATTGCACGGGGCAGACGCATATTTCTCTTACACGCAATATAGGACCGGAAGATGAATCGGAGGAGGAGCGAGAAACTTGTAAAAACACCGCGAACAATCTTCGATATACAGGATAGGTAACGTAATTTATGAAAATTGAAAATAACTCTCTTTCCGACTAATTCTATCTCGTCTCATCGGGTAATCTTTTCTATCGAAATCAACGTGAACAGTGAAATGTAGAAAAATGTTGTATCCAATTGGAAAGCAAATAAAAATTGAGAGAAGTGTGCACCTGTGAGTTTCTTTTGCACGATTCATCGACATTTCACGTATTTCAGTCGTTCGAGGGACTTTTGAACAGGACTGTACAAAACCGTGCAGGTCGTTTCAATACGTAAGTGCCAAGTTATACGTGGATCCCGGACAGTGAATGGAAGTTATACTCTCCGAGCCGGAGAGCGACGAAGACCGTGAGGTTTCTCTTTCCTCTCTGCCCCACCGCGATCCGTGAAGCGTAGCTAGTCCCTCTTTCTTCTTCTTCAGCCTCTCTCCTCTGTCTTCATTCCTCCCACGGTGTTTCCGTTGCTCTCGTAGAGGCCTCACCGAGCATATCACATGACTCGTGGCATGTGGCCGACAGTTTACTTGGAGAATTCGAACCGGTCGATTCGCGGACCGCTACTTTCCACGCTCTTCGCGAACAACGTGAATACCTTCCGATATGGGGCTACACGCGAGGAGCGTCAACGACAGCTTACGGCTCGCGTCCTTCACGAAAGGTACGTGTAATTCGACAGGTGCCGGGGTGGCGAACCTCGCTACCTTTTCATTCCCTTTCGCCTGTCTACAAGTACTTGGAACGAACGTTACAGGATTACCCTAAATGCAACGATGTTTCGTGGCTACCTATGGAACACGTACTTACGTACATATACGTACGCGCCGCGTCGGATACTTTCTCCGACTACCAGTACAAGTGTTTCTAGACGATTTCACTTCGATGCACTTAAATCGAGCCTTTTCGAAATTTCCTCACGCTGGCGTAACGCGGCGTAAAAAGAGCGGATCGGGGCAAATATTTGCTCGTGACAAACAAACGGATATAACGCGGCGAATATTAAAGATCGCGGCGTCGGTGGAATGACGGGAAGCTGGTACGTACAGGTGCTGTTAAAATCTTAGATTCCACTAACCTGTCGCGAAAGTCATGCGAAAGTGCTCCGAAAATATTTAAACCGTTATATTCTCTTAACGACGCGTCATTTTCAACAGTTATCTGTACAATTGATATCGACCTATTGGTAGTGTACGCCTCTCGCGTTAATCACGGGGCGTAGAGAGAAGAAAAATTTCCATTTGCGTACGTATCGCGCCGGTTTCACCAGCTGGTACACGCGATTTTGCTCTTCGGCAGCAGTGAACGCGTTAAAAAGTTGGAACGTTGAGAATAAGCGTGCACGTTCTTACGCGATATCCGTATCAGCGGCAAGGAATTTTCGCTAAATGGTAATTTACGGATGCGCAAACGAGCTTTCGATCGACACTTTTACAGCTGAGTCTTGGTATAAACAGTCTCTTTCTCCCCTACCGCGTTGCTCGACGTCGTGTGCGTGCCCGAAAGGACGTTATCCATAAGTTCTAAGTGACGTCAATCTATGCCAAAAAGCACAGCAGTCGCGTGGAATTTAACAATGCCACCGTTGCTGTTTCAAACGAGTGTATCGTAAAATATCGAGAATTTCGCAATATCGTAATCGGTGAAAGGAATATACGTAGAATGGGTAAGGTCTAACGACGTTCGTTACGTTTCAGGCGAAGTGTCGTGGTCTACGACAGAGGAGCCCTTTACTTCCGAAGAAGAAGACGCGATAGTGACACTGGTGGTGGTCGTGATAGGTATCATTGTAGCCATAGTGGTACTATTTTTGATGGGGATCTTTATCGATTGCAAGCACCAGTACGTAGAAATATGTCCGGTGGTAGATAAAGCGACGATCTACGGATTGGTTGGTTTCAGAAAGAAGAACGTTTCGAAGAAGAAGCTAAAATTGAAAATGCCACCGCTGTCTCACGCGAGAAGGAGGAACGAGAAAGAGGATGCGAAATCCTTGGCATCGAACATGTGTCCGACCGGTGCCAGCGACGCTGATTTTCGGACAAGAGACGCCATAGTTTGACATCCCTGTTCGCACACGTTCATCTCCAACGCGAACGAGAGCTGATGATTTCCTTCAAACCTGTTCGTTAAGTCGCAAGTGGTTCGTTAAGTGGTCAATTCAGATAACTCGAAAAAACTGGCAAAGTAAATTGTGCGAGCATGATTTAGTCGCGATAACACTGGCTGGCCACTAGACTTCAAACGATACACGGGGGAGAACCAGTGCTCGCGACGATAGCCTCGACCCAATAATGGACTATCGTGCTTGGAGTGACTGATGCGACCAAATTCTGCAAAC